CTCGGGTGCAGTCAGATCACACGCCGCTGCTACTTCGGGCGTCCTGAATTGTTAGGCGGGGGGGGGGGGGCTAAACCCTTCAAGTTCCTTGCTGTTTGGATCACTCATGCTAGTATTGATGATATGGTGGCCAAAGTGTGGCAGTTGGGGAAAGGGTATGCGGAGGTGGCATCAGAATTTCCTACGAGAGCCAGCGAGTGGAATTCTGAAGTTTTTGGTAATATCTTTCGCCATAAACGACAGTCTCTGGCTCAAATTGGGGGTATTCCATGGCAGTCCCTCGCTTCGAGGAACCATTTCCTTTGTCGTCTGGTGCACCGGTTACAAGGGGAACTGGATAAAGTACTCCTTCAGGAAGAGCTGTTGATGCTCCAAAAGTAGCAGAGGGATTGGACACTGTTTGGCAATACAAATACTTCCTACTATCATAGGTTGGTACGACATCGGCGCCGGAAGATCCACATTCCTTTTGTGGTGGACGAAGCTAGTCAAAAAATTGTTGATGAAGAGACCATGCAACAAATGGCAGTATCATTTTTTAAGGGCATTTATCAGCGCCCGATGGGTGTTTTGCCTCAGCACTATCTTCAGCATGCTTTCCTGAGGGTGGATCTTAGCTTGACTCGGCAGCTTGGGCAGACCATTTCAGAGGCCAAAATACTATTGGTTGTTAAGCGTATGGCCCCGATGAAAGCTCCCGGGCTTGATGGACTTCATGCTTTATTTTTTCAGCAACAATGGCATAATGTGGGGCCATCTGTTTGTGCTCAGGTTCATGATATTTGGCGTGGGTGCCCGGTTCCACCATCCTTGAATCGGACGTTGCTTGTGCTGATACCGAAGGTGGATAATCCCAAATGTTTGAAGAATTTCTGGCCTATTAGTTTGTTGAATGTCGTATATAATGTGGTGACAAAGGTTCTGGCAGAACGAATGAAGAAGGTGCTCCCTCTCCTTATAAATCCAGCGCAGTCCAGCTTTGTTCCCGGCCGCCAGATTACTGACAATATCGTCCTTGCTCAGGAGCTTATTCATTCTATGCGGGGCATGAAGGGCAAACGTGGGTGTATGGCGGTGAAAGTAGATTTGGAAAAAGCATATGATTATCTCCGGTGGGATTTCATCTGGGAGTCAATGGTGTTTGTTGGGTTCCCCATGGCTTTCGTGAGTGCAGTTCCAGTAGCTGTTTCGGATCGAGATGCAGTACCTCTTCTGCGGTTTCCCTCTCAGCTCTCAGCGCCCTGTAGGTGACAAATGCAGGTTAAGCGAACTGTACAATAAGCCTTTATCAAAATAACCCGGTAAAACAACGTATTGAGACTTGGGAAAAGTGCACCCTGCGGAGAAAGCAATAGAAAGAGTAATCATGCTAGAGGAACTGCCATAGTTTTTGTACAAGGCGACCCAAGGTCACATTCGCTATACTTGATGACCTTCTTCATTTTTTTTTATTATTTTTTTTTCGTGTAGTCCTTGAGAGTTTTCGAACACGACACCATTATTTGATGTGGATAACATATATTTTATCACCCCATCGTGTTTTGAAGCAAAATGGTACACGTTTAAGAAAGTCGAGGAAAATAAAGGTAAATAGGGGCAAGTATGAAAATGTAGGCAACGTCTCCGAAAAGACTTGTTTTCTAACACGACACCGTTATTTGGTGTGGATAACATATATCTATTGCCCCATCGTTTTTTGAAGCAAAATGGTACACGTTTTAAGAAAGTCGAGGAAAATAAGGGTAAATAGGGGCAAGTACGAAAATGTAAGCA